TCCCACTCAACTCCCTTCTTAACAGCAATATAGCTGGAAAACCAAGTCTCAGCCTTGCCTGTGAGATGAATGGAAGCCACATCCAATCTCTGATTCTCAGGAATTTTACAGAGATTGAAATAGCGAACACATTTCTTTACCCAATTTCGAGGATTAGAGCCATTAAACACTGGAAATTCGAGTTTAGGTAAGAATTTGAAAGAACTTCTATCGTTTCTTTCATTTCCGATTACCTCAGATTCAACTCTGTTTTCATTACTGTTGGATTTCTCCAGGATTTGCATCATCTTGCTCAACATATTCTGTTGCTCCGCTCGTATCTCCTCAATTTTCTGGTTCTGAGACGCCAATTGCTGTTCCAGAATCGCCTTCAATTGATTGTGCTGCACATTCTCCATGTTCGTTTCTTGTTCTCTACGTGATTGATTTCTTGTTCTTGCCAGGATGGAATCAGCTCTGATACCAATGTTAGCGTCAATGCAGGAAGATCTTGTAATGGAGAAGAGATCTTCGAGGATGAGCTAAAACACAGAAGCTGTAAAGCTTCTGTTACGTGACAGAGAAGTGGGGGAAGAAGAAGGATGTAGAAAAGAGTTATTTCATTACTTAACCTCAATGTACAATGTATCTTGGGGTATTTAAAGGGGAGATATTTTGGAAAATATCTTCAACTACCTCTAACCACTCAACAACTTCTTAACCAACTCTCCCCTAAAAGCTCAACTGTTTCCCTACTGTAACATTTTACTGTCCCTAGTAAGGTAAATTGGTTGGGGTGGGGGTGGGGTGGAGATAAAGACATACATTTTCCCCTGATTTAGAAAGACAATCATTGCCAAAGACCTTGTGGTTCAATGGCACCAAGGTGACTCTTCAAAGTGGGAGGTCACGCGTTCAACCCCTAGTGGGGGTGATTGCTCTTGTTGCTTTAATAGGTTGAGAAAGTATGTAATACGTATGAACAAATACTACAATTATAATAGAGTTATTAGTGCTAAAAAAGAGAGAGAGAGAGAGATAATCATTGTATTCATGTAATGCAAAAAGCCTTCGATCATTCAATAGCTTAGTGATAAAATTGGGCTCAATCATGCAGTACTTTACCAAGGTTTGGAGAAGAGGGCGTTATCAACACTTCCTATAGAACGCTGGGAATTTACTTGTGGTTGTTAGTGATAGGCTAGCAATGGTGTTCTGCTTGAAGTTATATTACTTATTTGTTATTAACAAGGGGGCCATTTTATGGCCATGATTTGAATGAAAGTGTCTTAAAGTGAAAATTAATACTCCGTTACAATTAAAACCTTGTTTGCACATTGAGTGGAATCACTTTGATAAGAGTGCACATTTAAACCTTTGTCCAAGGTCCAAACAAAGACAACAGAAGAGGGAAATGTGAGTTTGGGGGAACAGAAACTGTTTTTCTGGACAATCAATTAACTCTCTCCCCCGGGTAAATGAGGAATGCTTGACCTTGTCAAAGACCCAAGAAATTAGTTCCCCAAATGTAGTTTATCATTCCAAAGTGATAACCATTTTATAGCTGTTATAGGACTTGTAATCCCAAAAGCAAGCATAGTTCACAAGCTAATATTTATTAACGTAAATAAAGGTCAACTAATGCGAGAATGAAAAGGAAAGCAACATATATTGTATGATTTCTTGCACCCAAAGCTTGCACCTCTAGCCTGTTGTTCACCTCACTGCTTAGCCCGTTAGCATTCCGCCTGCCCCATGTGGGAGCATCAGGTGACGGTGATAGGTCCGACCCACCAAGGCATCCATAACACATTTCCTTAGGAAGGCACCCAACTGTTGATTATGCAATAGGCATCTGATATTCCTGAATTAGGCGTGAAAAGCATCAGATAAAACCAGAATGGTTTTGATCTCCAAGTGATTGAACTTCCTATATAATAATGTTTTGGGCCTTGCATGTCCCTACAGATTATGAAAAGTGAATTTGACAAGCAGACTGGAGGAGGAAGAAGGAAAATGAAACATTTTTTTCTTTTTCATCTTTCATGTGTGTGTATGCGTACATATAAACAAATGGAAGACATGGTTGAAAAGCATTTCCTTAAGTGCCATAATTGCTCGTAATTGCCTAACTTAAAATGTGGTCAATGCATGTAATATTGTGATGTAGACATGTAGTTCAGTAAGTTCCTTAATATGACAATAGAAACTCTTGAAATTAAATGTGGCGATCCCACAATAACAAGCAACAACATCAACATATTAAGAATAGTCATCCCTACTCACATCACATTTCATATATGAAGTTCCTGAAAACTTGTCCTCCACTTTTATATGATTCCTTTGCTCTTTGTCTCTACTATTTCTTCTTTCATTTTATGCATCTTTTACTCAGCTTTACCATCTTAATACAGGTATGTAAAGAGCAGAAGTGACCAACAACTGTTACATGGATTGAAAAATAACCATACAGGCTCTTGCAAACCTGAGGACACTAATAATGGTCTACCAATTGTTCCATGTGGTCTGATTGCGTGGAGCTTGTTTAATGACACATATGACTTTTCCCGTGGGGTTGATGAAGTTAAAGTCCACAGAAAGGACATTGCGTGGAGGAGTGACCGTGACCACAAATTTGGGAAGCATGTGTATCCGTTTAACTTTCAGAATGGGTCTTTAATTGGTGGTGCAAAGTTAGATCCTACTATTCCTGTAAGAGTTAACTTTGATGCTTTTATCCCTACCCACCTACACACACAAACACAAATATGAAAAAGGATAAAGATAATGAAGGTAACACTTGGACCTACCAATCTATTCAGAACTAGATAGTGGAAAATAATAACATTAAGGCTTCCTATGATGTAAGTTAAAAGCAAATGCTTCTTCAGTCAAGAATCTCTTTTCTCATTGGCTAAATAAGAGAAAAGAGCCTCTTTTTTTTTAATTAGAATCTCATGCTGGGCAAGAGAAGCACTACTTACTCTTACGTATAGAAATTTCAATTTCATATGCTCATTGATTTTTTTCTATACATGAAACTGTTACGTTAGGTAGTAGCTTAATATACTGTAGAATATTTTCATTCATATTCCCACAACCATGCACCCTATGTTTAGAAACAATACAAACTGCATATGTCATATTGTATGTTCTCAGGATGTGCATCAAGCAGTGGCTAGCTATATATTCATTTTCTGCAATCTTAAGATTCAAACCCCTTTTTAACAATTGAAATATCAGTAGTTCAGTGAGTAATATCATCTATATTCTGAGGCACAACTCACAACTAAATAGTCACCAGTAATTTCATCTTGTCCTTTCATCTTGTCCTTTCATCCTTTTCTCTAATTCAAATTGTTTGATTGTTTGTTCATTTACTTCATGATTTTTACCTTGCTACTTTTGTGTGTTTGACTTCAATCATCAACTAGCTGAGTGATCAGGAAGATCTTATTGTATGGATGCGAACTGCTGCCCTGCCAAGCTTCCGAAAGTTGTATGGAAGAATTGAAGAGGATTTACATGCAGATGATGTAATAGTGGTGAAGCTTTTGAATAACTATAACACTTACAGTTTTGGTGGACGGAAGAAACTTGTTCTTTCAACAACTAACTGGTTGGGAGGCCAGAATAACTTTCTAGGTATGGCCTATATTTGTGTTGGCGCTTTGTTTATCTTCGTCGCACTTGTGTTCATACTGCTTCATATGAAAACTCCAAGGTAAAGTAAAACAGATGATGATCTTTTTTTTTTTTCCGAGTAGTTAAATGCTTCATTGGTCATTTAATTTTTTTGTACAAGAAGTTGGGTGCTTTGCCTCTGATTCTTTTTAATCTTAATGACCAAAAAAAACTAATAAAAGGATTTTGAATTTGGCTCCGACACCCTTTTTTAGTGTGAATATCAAAGCCAAAAAAAAAAGAAGAAATAAAGTAGAGTTAAGACTCCATATAATGTATAGGTTCATTACTTCATTATTTCTTGTCCTTCCTACAACCTATCAACATATAGGCCCCGTTTGGTACATGGAATTCAAACTATGGAATTGGAATTGAGGACTTTAATTCCAATTCTGGTGTTTGGTAGCACAAAAATTATGTGGATTTGGAATTGATAGTGCAAAAAATAAATTGGAATTGGCAGAATTCAATTCTATGGAATTGAATCCCATGGAATCTCAATTCCAATTCAATTCCAATTCCGTCAATTCCGTATACCAAACGGACCCTTATTGTAAATGCATGTTGCAATACTAAGATTGGCTAGAATCACTTTCAATAAATTGTGAGTGTACTATGATGTTTTACTGAATCAGTCCTTGTCATTGTTTATTTTTTTCACTACGGGCAAGAAATCATATGTTGTCTGTTTTGTTACTTTGTTTATTAATGCTGTTGTTCTTGATCTTATCTGACCTATTTTTGCATGCAGACCTTATGGAGAGACAAACTTAACTTGGAACTGGAAGAGCGGGTCAAATTGAAAGGCGCCTCCAAACCAAGCTTTTTTCTCCTCCCAAAATTCCGGAGTTCAACGAAAACATTGCTAACCTGGTAACGCGTCTATATTATGCAATAGGATATAGGTTAAACTCTGTTCTCTAATCCGTGCATTGTTCCTCGATCACTCTTTATTTATATTCGAACCAGTGACTTTATATGTAACCATTTGACACAGATGCACTTTGCATCCTCACTCAAATAATGTTTGAAATGTCTGCTGATATTTGCTGTAAATTAGAAATGGTGATATGAAAGAGAGGGTAAATTGCATCATTAAAAATTATCCAAAACGCCAATACTGATTGCAATTAACCGTGGCCTTAGTCTACTGCATTTCGTGTACTCCCTCTGCTTATTATGAGATCTACCTATTAAAAAGGGTTAAGTGGCTATATATAAGGCGTTATTTTGACCTTTTTTTGAATAAACACGATGAATATAAAGAAATCATTTTTATATTAATATGCAACACAGTTTTTTATTATTGATAATTTAGGTTCGTCACATAGTCATTTTTCTTCTCATTTCAAGGGAAACAATGAGCCTGCTAATTAAATATAAAATATCATGAAATAGTATATATTCACTCCTCCATATGTATCATACTGTACATTGTAAAGTACATTATCATATCTCCCTTGTTTCAATACCACAAGAAAGAAATACTGTAATTAATTATTACATCACCATGAAGAAAAACCATGGGAAAACATCAAAAACATTCTCAAATCTCAACATTATCCAAAATGTTCATATATATTAATGGGGTTCTTCATATCACAATATCTCAATATACCCATTCATCAAAGCATATGACACCAGAGAAAGAACCAGAGGAACCATGCACATGGCTCTGATGCTTCCAGCGGCGGCGGCGGCCGGAAAATTGACCGCCGGATTCCCCTCTTCGAGAATGGTTTCTAACGACGGCGCATTCGAGATTCTCCGGGGAGAAATGAGGGCCGAAGGAGCGACTTCAAATGTCTTTCGCCGGAATCTCATCATCACCCTGTGATGCATGATGATCGGAATGTTCTTCCCAGTCGGCCGCCGGCCCCTCGCCGGAAAAGCGAAGCTTCTGAAAGATATATATATTCCAAAATATATTTTATTTTGTTTGATTTTGAGGAGAGATTTTTATGGGTAAAATTAAGATTTTTTAGGGGTGTATTGTTGGGGTATTTGTAGAGGTGTTTGTCCGAAAAACAAGGGCTGTGTTCGTGAATGGTGTAGCATTTGATGTTTGTTGTCTGTTTTAACTTGGTTAACTATAAGATGAATGAATGGTAAATGCCTGCCCAACCCATTATTGAGGTCCTCTTAAGTCCCACCCAAACAATTATTTGAAAAAGGTAAAATGAGAACTAGCCATTAAGGGCCTGTTCTTTAAGACTGTAAAAAAAGAGCTGGATGTTGGAAGAAATTAGAAAAAACTGGAAGAAACTGGAAAAAATTGGAAGAAACTGGAAGGAACTGGAAAAAACTGGAAGGAATTGGAAGAAACTGGAAAAAACTGGAAAACCTAAAAAACTTTAAAAATATTTATTTTAAATTCTTGTTGTTATAAATTACTAGAATCGTACCCGTGCGATGCACGAGCTATTAATTGACATATTATTTTTCAATGTTTTGAATAAGAAAAAATGTTACAAAGAAAAATATTCTCTCATCGATGCACCGGAAGCATTTCATTATTATATTTGTCATTAATTAAAATTTAATTAAGAGTTTAATTTATAAGGAAAAAATTCTCTAGTAAAATAACATTGTAATGTCAATCTCTAGTTTTATGGATTTTTTCATGTGATTTTTTATATGTAATATTATGTTTTTAATTGAATAACTTTTGTCATATAAAATGATTTAAAGTCGAAAAATAGGTTAGTAAACAAAGTTTATCACATATTTCCAAAATTATTTTTTTTATTTAAAACACAAAATAGATTCTTATTTAATCATAATTATAATGTTAAAATTTTTATTGACAAAAAATCAAAACTGGATAAATATTCTGAACACAAATATATTTAAAGATACACACATTACTTATTCAGGCCCAAAAGCCCATCCCTATCGGAATATATAACTTTTTTACTTGAAATATTTTTGTATCCTATTTGATAAAATAATACTCCGTATTATAATGTCAATCTCTAGGTTTATAGATTTTTTTCATGTAGTTTTTTAATATGTAATTTTAAATTTTTAATTGAATAACATTTGTCATAGAAAATGATTTAAAAATAATTTCAGTCAAACATCGTAACGCGTAATGATAAGTTTATTTCTGTACGCAAGGAGAAAAAAATAGGTTAGTAAACTCACTTTATCTCATATTTCCAAGATTATTATTTTTATTTAAAACACAAAATAGATTCTTATTTAGTCATAATTATAATCACATAATTTTTATTGATAAAAAATCAAAACTGGACAAATATTTAGAACACAAATATTTAAAGATAAGCCCATTACTTATTCAGGCCCAAAAGCCCATCCCTCGGAATATATAACCTTCCCAGCGTAACCCTAATTCCATTTCCGCCGCTCTTCACTCTCTCTCTAATCGCCGCCTTCCTCTCGTCTTCTCTCAATGCCCTCTGTCCGCTCTTCACTTATCGGCCGATCTCTCTCTTAGTTTGTCATCCATCGCCATAAACAATTTCTTGTAGATATCAGTTTTGCCGATTCATATATGGCAATATGTGACATTGTTCAACATCATTTTTTTGTAAGTTTTTTGGATTCAAAATTTTTGATTTCAATTCGTCTTTTCAGTAATTCCGTAGATTGGAATTAAATTACGGGATGTATATATGTATATATTCTCGAATTTTCTCAAGATCTTTAGATCTTTATATATGAATATATATATATATATATATATATATATATATGTATATATATATATAGATTTTGGTTCTAGTGAGAATGCAATCTTAGGAGAGAAATGAGAATAAATCTAGTGCTTTAGATTGTGAGATCTAAGGGTCAAGATTTCATCAAAATTAGATGCACCAAAATGGTGCGAAAATGCATCACGTCGAAATGCACCATAAACCTTCGAAAATGCACTATCTCAAAATCTGAGCGCAAGATGCAATCTGAGCCGCACGATGCATCAGATCCGACGGCTAGATTTTATTCTCATTTCTCTCCACAAGGTGCATTCTCACGGGAACCAGCCCCTATATATATATATATATATATATATATATATATATATATATATATATATATTCGTATATTTATTTATATATTTATTTATTTATTTATTTAATTATATATATATATATGTATATATGAATATATTCGAATGTTTATATGTATTTTTTCGATTTAAATTATATATATATGTGTGTGTGTGTGTGTGTGTGTGTGTGTGTCGATTTAGTTCATCCAATTTATATATAGTTCTCTCTCAATTTTTCTCTTAATTCACACTATTTCTTCATTTTTTTTCCCTTAATTATGACCGTAGATTTTGGATCTGCACATTTTTTTCTCAAAATATGTACAGATTAAAAAATCCTATATACTGTGGAATTTTATAAGGTTTTTTATTCTTGTTGTTTGAATCCGCTAACTACTAATTGCCAATAAAGACTATTATTTGTTGCAAATTTGTTGCTAATGAACTTGTGGTGTGTGTGTATATATATTTATTTATATTTATATTTATATTTATAAATATTTATATATCTAGTTATTTATATATGGTGCCAATGATGAGGGAGGGATCGCTCTTTCCTACTCTGCATATCAATACTTCTTTTTGATGTTTGAATGTGTATATATATACCCAGTTTTGCCTTGTGGCTGCCCTTTAATTTATATTTCGTATATGTAATGTATATTGCCTGGTATCTTCCATTTCATTTCACTCCCAGTTCTTTGCATTAATGTATACATGTATACATACATACAAAATCAAAGAATTGGTATTCAAATTTGTGTGTATAAACATATGGCTGTGATATGGGAATGGTGGAATTGGAAGGCTCATTCTAGTGGAGTGGTTTGAGATTTAGAAGTGGGATGTATTTATAATAGTCCAAATCTTGATTATGCAAAATGCATTAAATGTCCAAATCTTTTAAAAATTTTCCTATCTAAATATTTAATCTTAATAAGACATAAAGTAATCTCTACATTAAAAGTTGTGATTTGCTTTATGGAGCCGCGCACTACTTTAATTTACTTTATGGAGCTACGCAACGCTTTAATCTACTTTATGGAGAAGTGTACTATTTTAATCATTTCAAAAGGACTGATATGACAACTCATTAATGGCAGCCTCAAAACCCGTCCCACCAGCCCAATTTTGGCCCAACCCGAATTGGCCCAATTTAGCCAAATGAATTAGGCAGGAACACTGTTCAAAAGGCAATCCTAGCATTGTATATAGTAATATTATTATTATTATTATTATTATTATTATTATTATTATTATTATTATTATTCTTATTATTATTATTATTATTATGATCATCATCATCATCATCATCACCATCATAATCATCAAGTTAGCATAAATATAAAAATATTAAATTTTAAAAAGGCTGTGTAGTTATTTATATATTAAAACATTTTGTTTTAAATATCATACATGTCACATAATCAAACCTATTTTTTCTTTCATAATTGACATTTTATTTTCATTGAATTCCTATTTTTGGAATTAAGACATAGAACTTTTTTGTTTACATTTTTTATGTTTTACTCATATTTTAGTCTTTTTCTCTAAGCTCTTTTGACTTACAATTTCTTTTTATAAAAATTAGAAAAATGAGCAATTTTTAAGTAATAAAGGAAAAGCTGAGATGTCTTATAAAAAGTTATATTATAATAATAATAATAATAATAATAATAATAGTAATAATAATAATAATAATAATCACATTGAAATATATCATTTTTAGAGTAATAGGTTGAGGAGTAGAAAGAATTTGAAGAAAATGAAAAAAGTTGGAAGAAACTGGAAGTTAAGAGTTCAAGTCCTAAAGAACAGGCTCTAAGCAGATTTCTCTTTTTTCTGAACGCTATCCGGGGATTGAACTTGTGACCAAGGGGATCTCTTCTTAGTTATAGTAAAAACTAAAAACTTAAGTAAAGAACATAACGGTTCACACCATTTTTGCTAGGAGTTGATTCCGACAAATGGTGGAACAAATACGGTTGTTCAATCTTAGGGAAGATGAGAGAGAGAGAAACGGGGGATAGAGAAGGAGAAACTCGAAATAATG